TTGGTCTTGCCGTCATTGGGAACTCGGACGTGTATTTGAAAAAGTTTTTTCTTAGTGGTGGGGCATAGATAGTGGCACTGGTGCGATGCTTTTGGTCTCTGTAAGCTTTCGTATACCCTGCACTTAACGCTGTCTCACCTTATACTCCCCCTCTCCCCTGCCTTTTGCAATGCCTTCTCCTCTGTCTAGACACATGGATACACAGTAAAAAAACAGCACAAAAACAATGACGAGACAAATGAAATAAGACTAGCATTGTCCTGTTTCATCCTAGTTTATGTGGGCCAAGCTGCCCACATGGGTGCCTTTGCCTGAAACTGCCTGCGAAGGTTTGCGGGTCAGTCCAGTCTTGCCCACAGTCTCTGTATGGCGAGGGAAGGCAACGTGTCCTTTCCCTTTCAATACAGAGAGAGAGAGAGAAATTTTGAAAGATTTGGTTTAGTTGGCCAGTGGAAGCCGGAAAGGTCATGTGATTATGGACATGGCAACGCCTCCCTAAGTGCCCCCGCGAGGATTCGCATCAAAGAAAATCCATGTCGCTCTGTTCTAGGGTCGAGATATGTCATCAGACCTTTTTAATCCCTCGACTTTTGTTATGTGTTATGCATACTTTTTCAGTTCCTAATGCATCTGATGACATCAGCCTAATAGGGCGTTCATTCTTAACTCAATAAAACCATCAAGATGCTTTTGCAACGTTGAGGAACTGCAGAAATGGAATTGAACTGTCCGGCCATTTTCGGAGTGGGAATAGACCAAGTTTTCTCATTCCGAAGAATGGAAAGGAATGCAATTGCAGCAAGTTCTAATACCCCGAAACGGAATTCAAATGGAATGGAGGTGCCCATACTGCAACACTGTTATGCACCGGCCCTTTCTTTCTTTCTTAAGATTCTATTATTTTTATTTTTGCAAAAAGATGTCATACATGTATTTTCTTTCATGCAATTTCTTCTCACGTTGATCACTCATGTGCTCAGGCCACTTGTCAATACAATGTCCAATGCCATGCACACTCACTATACTCGGTGACAACTTATCTTGACAAAAGGGCGAAGGTTACGGAGCCTCTCTTAACATAAGAGCGAAGGTTATGGAGCCGAAGCTTCCACATATCTGAGTTGCTCCGCATCTAGTATGCAGCTTGTGGCTGATTTCGGTTCAGCCCGTGTGTATTGTTAACACATTTAGACGATTATATACACAAAAACGTGCATGGGAGACACATTTCGATTGTTCAATGTAAATTTTAGTGCCATATTACAAGCCAGCCTGCTTTGAAGCTGCTTGCTGCTCTCATTCGTGCCCACTTCTCATGATCCTCCTGTTTTATTTCCTTTATTGGTGGGCTCATGAACAGGAACAAAAATTGACGAGCCCACCTATCATCCGCAAGCCAGCATGCCCTCGGATGCCACTCCACTTCTCATTTTCTATACGTGGGTCTCACTTTCCAGCATGCTCCAGTTTAAATTTAAATTTTTCACATGACGCTCTCTACAACTTTTTTTTTCCGCCATGCCCACTACGTTATGGATGCTATGTTTACATTGCATAGTGGGCATTCAAAAATGGTGGTGCTGTCTAAAGAATGGAAAGGGAAAAAGGGCATTTTGGCAAAGGGACAATAACTGTATCGCACTTACGACTTATTACAACTAATGTTGTCTCATATGAAATAAATAACATTTATTTAAGCAAGGAAATTATCAGTAATCGCAAGTACTATTTCTTGGTGTGGTGGCAAGCATGTGGAATTCAGTTCAGTAGCTTCCACAGTGATGTTGAGAAAAGCTGTTGCTGAGTACAGCACTTGCCAACTGCCTTGTATATGCGCCTCACAAGCCAGATGCTTTGGCAGACTTTGTGTGGAACTAATTGGAAGCGCTTTAAATTGGGCCGTCTATGATCAAGCTCGCATAGGCTTTTTTTGCACACAATCTAGACGACGAGTCTTTTAAATAGCCTTTGCACTGCATAATTATCAGGTTCTCATGTTTCATGGCTGTTAGCTCCAGGACACAGTCAGAGCTGTGAAAGGGTGACTCACCATCACACCATCTGCAGATATCTGTGCAGCTGCACATGTTTAAACCACGCAGAGTGACACTGGTACAAGCGCGTCATGCTGCCGTTCGAGAGTTCGCTGCTGCCGTTTCATGCAAAGTTGCTTGTACATTGTTTGCAAAATGCGTGACTTCTTCGTGTCGAACTAGTAGGCTATTTGCAGCACGTGAATTCGATCTAGAGTGAAGCGTGCATGATGAACGTAAAATTAGACTGCAAATGGCCTGGCCTGCAACAGCGAGAACCGAGTAAGCATGCGTGCAGCATGTAACTAGCCAGGGATGATTGGTTGCACATGTCATTACTGCGCTTCATGGAACGGCATGAGTTCATTGCAAACATTATATTACTCACTCATGAGCACCCAGTAAGTGTTGCTAATTAACGCATGAAAAGGCCTAATTTGTTACGTAGGAGGGGTTGTTAGCACTTTTTAAGAAAAATGCACAAAAAGCTTTCACAATCTTGTGTGGTTTTAGATACAGGGATGCTATTGTTTACTTGTGTAGCGAGAGAGGAGACATGAGATGACGTCGTGAAAGAGGGGGAGACGTAAGATGGTGTTGCGAAGGTGGCTGACGGGGCCGTCCCAATGTCGTCACTTTATTCGTAGGGCTGAAGGTGAGCGGTGGTGGCTGCCAGTGTCCGACACATTTGGTGCGTGAAGTCGTTCTGTTGCTCGTGCAGCTCGAGCTAGGCATGAACACAGATATGTGATAGATATGTGGGAATTAACATTCCGAAACCGCCATATGATTATGAGAGATGCCGTATTGGAGGGCTCCGGAAATTTCGACTATCTAGAGTTCTTTAACATGCACCCAAATCTGAGCGCACGGGCCTACATTTTTGCCTCCATCAGAAATGCAGCCACCGCAGCCGGGATTCAATTCCGCGACCTGCGAGTCAGCAGCCGAGTACCTTAGCCACTAGACCACGAGGGCGGCGCAAGAAATGATGACGATCATGGAAGACGAAGATGATGACACTACAACTTGTGTGCTGGTTGTGTTGTCGTTTTCTTACCGAATGTTTGTAAAGTTTCTTCAATGAGAACAGATGGAAAAGTCGGTCAAAAGCTTATTATTCTTAGTGTATAACAAGTCTATCCTTAGTATATAGCAATACTATACTAGCCTATATAGGCCCTCATATAAAGTTTCAATTTATCCTGTACAACTATATTATATATGCAATGTATACCATTTAAAGAAATACAGAGTGCATAAAGGCTTTGTGTCCTATTCTGCAAAGGTTAAGTCTTAATGGAAAGAGAAAAAAACACGCTTTTTTAGTAAAAGTAAAGTGCCCTTATTGTGACAAAGGTACACAGATTAATGTGAATGCTTGCGCTAGTTTCTGCATCTGCATCATAGTTTTGTAGCGTGTTCTTAGTATTGTCAGTCCCTTCAATATGTGTTATCGGCATCCGGTTCGAACCATGGGGAATGTACGTTTGTAGCTTAATAAATGGGATACTGTGAAGGATTCTTGCAGCACAGAAACTGTGTTGTGCTTTGAATGACTTGCTGTATGTACATGGGAGTGGCCGTCATATTTTTGAAGGTGGTGGCTGCAGCCCCGGCCATGCAGTGATCCTGCCTGGGCCAAGTGCTGAATCTCGCCGAGCTGTACATGGGAGAGGTCGTCCTATTCTTGAAGGTGGAGGCTGCAGCCCTGGCCATGCAGTGATCCCGCCTGGGCCTAGCGCTGAATCTTTCCAAGCTGTACATGGGAGAGGCCGTCCTATTCTTGAAGGTGGAGGCTGCCGCCCTGGCCATGCAGAGATCCTGCCTGGGCCTAGCGCTGAATCTTGCCGAGCTGTACCTGGGAGAGGTCGTCCCATTCTTGAAGGTGGAGGCTGCAGCCCTGGCCATGTAGTGATCCTGCCTGGGCCGGGCACTGAATCTTGCCAAGCTTTATATGGGAGTGGCCGTTGTATTCCTGAAGGTGGAGGCTGCAGCCCCGGCCATGCAGAGATCCTGCCTGGGCCTAGCGCTGAATCTTGCCAAGCTGTACATGGGAGAGGTCGTCCCATTCTTGAAGGTGGAGCCAGCCCTGGCCATGCAGTGATCCTGCCAGGGCCGGGCACTGAATCTTGCCAAGCTTTACATGGAAGTGGCCGTTCCATTCTTGGAGGTGGAGGCTGCAGCCCCGGCCATGCAGAGATCCTGCCTGGGCCTAGCGCTGAATCTTGCCGAGCTGTACCTGGGAGAGGTCGTCCCATTCTTGAAGGTGGAGGCTGCAGCCCTGGCCATGCAGTGATCCTGCCTGGGCCGGGCACTGAATCTTGCCAAGCTTTATATGGGAGTGGCCGTTGTATTCTTGAAGGTGGTGGCTGCAGCCCTGACCATGCAGTGATCCTGCCTGGGCCTAGCACTGAATCTTGCCGAGCTGTACATGGGAGAGGTCGTCCTATTCTTGAAGGTGGAGGCTGCAGCCCTGGCCATGCAGTGATCCTGCCTGGGCCTAGCGCTGAATCTTTCCAAGCTGTACATGGGAGAGGCCGTCCTATTCTCGAAGGTGGAGGCTGCCGCCCCGGCCATGCAGAGTTCCTGCCTTGGCCTAGCGCTGAATCTTGCCGAGCTGTACCTGGGAGAGGTCGTCCCATTCTTGAAGGTGGAGGCTGGAGCCCTGGCCATGCAGTGATCCTGCCTGGGCCGGGCACTGAATCTTGCCAAGCTTTATATGGGAGTGGCTGTTGTATTCTTGAAGGTGGTGGCTGCAGCCCTGACCATGCAGTGATCCTGCCTGGGCCTAGCACTGAATCTTGCCGAGCTGTACATGGGAGAGGTCGTCCTATTCTTGAAGGTGGAGGCTGCAGCCCTGGCCATGCAGTGATCCTGCCTGGGCCTAGCGCTGAATCTTGCCAAGCTGTACATGGGAGAGGCCATCCTATTCTTGAAGGTGGAGGCTGCCGCCCTGGCCATGCAATGATCCTGCCTGGGCCGGGCACTGAATCTTGCCAAGCTTTACATGGGAGTGGCCGTTGTATTCTTGAAGGTGGAGGCTGCAGCCCTGACCATGCAGAGATCCTGCCTGGGCCTGGCCCTGTGTTAATCCCCCAAGCCGACATTGCTGGCAGTGCTGTTGACAAAGAAAGATATGGGCCTGTAGCCCTCAGCAGGCCAGGTATTATCCGAGAGGTGTGGGCCTCTAACCTTGAGGAAGCATTCAAGGCCATCAGGCAAACGGTCCAGCAGTATAACTATGTTGCTATGGACACAGAGTTTCCTGGAATCGTGGCACATCCCATCGGGGTGTTTCGCAGTGCCGCGGAATACCAGTATCAACTGGTGCGATGTAACGTAGACCTACTCAAGATCATCCAGCTCGGGCTCACCTTTCTTGACGAAGCTGGCAACCCTGCCCCAGACTGCTGCACCTGGCAGTTCAACTTCAAGTTCAATCTGAATTCAGACATGCATGCAGAAGATTCAATTCAGCTGCTAATCAACTCGGGCATACAGTTTGCGAAGCACAGTGTAGAAGGCATTGAGCCGTATGAATTTGGACAGCTTCTCACAACATCTGGTGTCGTCTACTCTGAAAAGGTCTGGTGGCTCACTTTTCATAGTGGGTATGACTTTGGCTACCTAATGAAATTGTTAACAAACATGAAGCTGCCTGAAGGTGACGCTGAGTTTTCTGAACTGCTGCGGATCATGTTCCCAAACATATATGATCTCAAGTTTCTCATGAGGGGCTGCAATTTCCTTCGAGGAGGCTTACAGTTACTGGCCAATCAACTTCAAATAGAACGTGTTGGACAACAACATCAGGCGGGTAGTGACAGCTTGCTTACAGCTGGAGCCTTTTTTAAGATGCGGCAAGTGTTCTTCAGTGACCAGATCGACAATGCCAAGTACTGCGGACAAATATATGGCCTGGGTCCAGCATTCGACTCAACTGGTAGCTTTTGCACTACTGAGAGCGATCCCCTGCCTCCGCCTGTGATCAGAAAATTTTTATTTTGATGGCGTTCCTTGGTGCTTCCCACCAGTGCACCCGCTTCTCCTCAAGAGAGCCCAGCTGTGCTTTTCTGACTTTGTATAACCAGGACTACCGGTGTGTGTGATGTGCCTTGCTATAAGCTCTGCTTTCACAGTTGCTCCAGAGACCCTCCCTGTGTCTTTTCACACTCTACACACTGTACCACTTTTCCGGTGACCTCATCTCCTGGCTCTGTAGTCCACTTTTATCCGGAAAAAAAAATTTGTCGTTCCTCGCACACTGTTTTCTTTTAATATGGTGGGAAAACCAAGCATGGTCCTGAGTAGTGACATATATTTGCAGCAATAAATCTTGGAGGGCTTGTTAAAGCACTGCATGAGCCACAATTCTTTGCCTGAGCTTGGATGACCCTGCTGGTCACAAATCGGGTGCTACTGAGGCCCACACTTAAAAGGGCCCTGCAACGCTTTTTGAGCATAGTCAGGAAACTCTGCCGTTTGGTAGTTGAGGCTCCTGACAACACGCGAGTCAAATATTAAAGCGCAGCCTGGAATTCACAATAAATAATCAGTCAGCTGAAAATTGATTTTTCTTTCTATAAATGACGGAAAATGCTCAAAAATCACTCGTAGCGAGCCCATCTATCAGCCATCGGCTGATTTGAACATAGCGCGTTTGGTCGTTACAGATATCGCTGCAGGAGGCCGCGACTTGTCGATGTGAGCACGTGCGATCACACTGAAAAGCTGTGCACTCGAAGAGAAAAAAAAGAAAAAAAAGTGTTCAAGGTCGCAAGGCACATCCACCACTTTCGTCTGGACGAGAGAAGAGAGAATGCGATTGCAGCGTGCGACACATATTTTAACTCCACTTGTACAAGACGGATTCTGAAAATTTTTGCGGCATTGAATTTGTAAGGCAATAAGCTCTTCTAGTGAATTTATTTCATGGTTACTTGAAAAAAGTGTTTCAGGGCGCCTGTTATACTAAATCAAAGCGGTCCTTACAGATACAGTGAGAGCAGTTATAAAGGGTGTCTAAAGGGATACTGAACAAAATTGTGGAGAAGATTTTCAGCTGCATTGAAAAATTGACTTAAGAAATCAATAGATACAGCCTTGATTTCAGGCGGAAAAGAAAGGAAATTAATGAATTTATTATTGTTCACAAATCACTGCATCTATAAGCCGCGTCTTGTCGGCTGTTCTCGACACTTGTGGGCTCTCTCGGCCCCTCTTAGGGTTCCTAGAACCACAATGACAGCAAGCAGTGCTCCTCGTTGGGTTAAAGTGAATAAGCATGAAGGCTTTTGTCAAAGGAAGAGAGTGGATTGATAGGTAAGGTGTGGAAAGGGAAGAGGAGGACAGGAACACCTGCACGTTGCCATGAACACTTGGCACAAAATTCCTCGTAATAATTTAGCGTATACCATGCTTCTCAGAAAAATGATGAAAAATATCATAGTGAATGCAGGCCTACTACCCTTAAAGGTTTATTAGTCACGCTAAAGTAGGCATCAAGCAAGTGTGCTTGCAGCAGTTACCCAATGAGTGTTTAGGAAAGGCTTGCGCTGGCGATTGTGAAATCATGGTTCAGCTCGTGCTTGCGTGCAGCCACCGTGCATTGACAAACCACCAAAAATATAGCAACTGTTGAAAAATACATGAAATCAACCCTTTTAGTTGGAACAGTGGTGCCTTCCAAGCTGAATTTCGATGTCTTTGCAAGTTTTTTTTTTTTCATTTTCCCCATGTATTTGCCAAGTTTTTTTCAGTGTCCCCTCATACGTAATTTCTTATATTTAGAACATGTTCTTACTGTAGTACAAAGTAGCCACAGTATAAGCCACAATGTGAGAGCAAATTAAGTGTATGCAATTTCATTTAACATGGCAAAAGAGTGAAATAGCACCAGGGCTTCCCACCCATCGGGAAGGTCCCGAGCATACCATAATTCTCCATTATCGGCCCAAGTATCAACTAAGCGCACATAATACCCAACAGATATGTAGTGGGTACTTTGTTTGTCCACAGAATAATGGATAATGGCATAGTGGCTATGTCCCTACTTTGCAAAATTATGATTAATGGTTTAGGTAATATTTGTACCAAGAGAGTTTAGACTGGGCTTTAGAAAGGCTGCTCCTGCAGTTTTCACTGAAACTGAGCAACGTGTTCGATGCAGGCATCTGATGTTTATTTTGTCACACTTCTAATTTCTCTCATGACCCGAAAGCCTCAAGAAAGTGAGGGGGGGGGGGGCGATCAGGTTGAAGAACACCAGATGGTTGACGTTTCTGGAGCCTTCCTCTATAGAGTATATTATTGCGATTTCGACATTTAAATACCAAGAAATTATTGTTCATTACACCTTTGCTTCATACTGCTATGATTTGAAAAATTCCATCTTTACTGTAATGCTGTATATAACTAGACCATTCGTAACTGTTAGAATCGTGATTAACCAGTGAATCGAGGCCACTCTGAGTGCTGTTGTGGACTCATTACACTGCGATTCTATTTTTTATGCCTTTCACGGCTGTTAGTCATTGGCATTGGTCGAAATTTTGAAGCCATACCTTTTGACAAATTGATGGAATTGTAGCAGTTCTTCCACTGTTCCAAAAGGGAAATGCTGCTTTGAGCTGCGAGTTTTCTTGGTAGCTGGACAGAATGTGCTCTGTAAAGGCACTGAGAAAATGTGGACAAAGAGCTTTCAACATGGGACCGACAGGCAGGCCCTAACGAAACTGAGAACAATTTGTGTACTATAATTCTAGTATGCAAGTATGCAGCGCTATCAGCTCTGATCTCATTTATGCAACAACTGGCATATCAAGCACATGTCTCATTTAATGGGGTTCCTCCTTCTCTTTTCTTCCAACCTGACATACAGGCTATTTTGATGAAATGTGAGCATGATAGAGATCTCATACCCATTATCAACTGCTGCTTTGGCAACAGTTATACAACTGTGTTTACCTTTATGATGCGGTGCTCTGCTTTATTAGTGTGAACTCATTTCTGCTGCATGTATTTACATGTATTTAAATATAAAGCTTGTTTCATGGCACATTTGGCAAGCAACCATCTTTTTAATTGTTTGTTTCTTGCAATTTATGTTGATAATTGTCTTTGATATACAACATTTCGTATTAAATACCAATATTTGAGATTATTCGGTGATGCTTTGAACTCCAGAAGTAGTGTGCCATATTTTGCGATGTGTTCCCAAGAACACCAATCTCTAAACTTTGTTTGTGCTCAGAAAATTCTTATGGCTGCCCCAAAGTAGTGCTTTTCTGGCTCTGAAATCTGTTCCGAAAGATAAAAAGTCACATCCCTCACTTCCAATGGCAGATAGCTAATAGTGGCAAAAGGCATTAAAAAGGTCGGATTATTATTAGAATAGCTCTGCTGTAGCACCCCATGCTCGGCTTCACTGATCTGGACGAACTATTTGATGTGACTGTGACCCAGGTTGTGATAAGAAATATGATCATACCATTACTTCATGAACAATTACCCAACAATTACCTACTATGGTGCAAACTTACTACTCACCACTGGTTCACTAGAAAATAAAAAAGATCAATTGACCAAACATATGAGTGCACAAATAAACAAAAATGAATGAATATGTGTGTAAATAAGCCAATGAAAATAATTTAAATATATAAGTGAATCGCTACATAAATACCTTGACCATTTGAGTTCAGGTCATACAAGTCTAGAGGCCCTGCAACACTTCTCGAATATCAGAAAACGCTGCCAATTAGTAGTTGAAGCTACTGTGAACATGTGAGCTAAACATTATAGGTCAGCACGCAGCATGGAACTTGCAATAAAATGCCGATGCTGGGTAGAAATTGCTCACTATTCTTTCCCCAAATGAAGCCTTATACCCAAAATGCACTTGTCTGCATTTTGTTTTCCTTGTCTTTGTATTTGTGCCAATCATTTCAACTTCAGCTGAGCTATGTAACAACTAGCCTGATAGCACACACTACTAAAAATCAAGTGGATCACTCATCCAAAACAAGGCCGTTTGCTGATTTTAGTATTGGTAACTGCATTGTTACTACGTTGGCTGCGGTGACGTGCCAACACTTTGCGCTACAGTTCTAGAGTTATACTATAGAACAAGGGTCTCGGCTATTGGCCGCGAGAACAAGCAGAGCAGTCACTTGGTGGCAACTGGCCCAAACGGTTAAATGTGGATTGCTCCTTGCGTCGTCTGCCAGCCACCTCGTGGTTCTATGCGCGCGTACGTCATGCACATTCTCGAAGTGTGGTTTGTCCGGTCATGTCAGCGCGAGTGGAACTGTTTCTACATATGCCTGAAATGACTTGGGAAAGCATTTGGTCTTGCTCGGCTGGTGGTACATTATAATATCAGCGAGTGCAGCTTTCCATAGTGCTGTTTATTGTCGTTGTACCCTCCATTCACCACAATAATTTCAGAGTGGGTGCCGCTTCTGTTTCAAGCACATTGCAAAATGCTCTTGGCATCCTCCAAAACATGAGTACTATTAAATGCTGTGCAATTGCAGCGTGTTGTAGCGACTCGGTTGTAACAAACAAACAAAAAAAGGCTCTAGGCCATGCACCTGCGCGCTGTTGGTAAGTGTCCAACCACGGCACTGTAGTTTGTCGATCATGCGAGGAGCGCCTTAGTTGTGTTTATCTGGCTGTTGTACCACTTCATAGAAACATTACTATTACATAAACTGTGAGACTTCGGTACTTGCACTGTACTTAAAACAGAGTTAACATGCGAAACTGTATGCTTAAATTTAAGAACGCTTTAAGGAGCCCAGACGTTGAACATCAATTCAGACGGTATGCTTTATATATTGCTACGATACTGAGGATGCGCGTGGAAGAAGAGGAGAACGAGGTTGGCACGAGCGGTGATCGGCCAGATCCCTGGACTCTCGCATTGATCATCTCCTGTAAATAAAGGCATCCATCGCACCGTAACAAGATTGGTGGAGGTGCGGGGTACAGCGGAGCGATCCAAGGCCAACGATCACGGAAGCGCTACCTCAAGAACTACGCCGAAGCCGCCGACTGGCTGGTCTACCACCGCTCTCTATGGATCCGATTGCTGACGGCGACACCACGCACTCTTCGTCTGGCGCTGCGTGGCCCCGGCACATGGTACCACGAAGCTTCTCAGCGAGGGTCGGAGAAGACGTCGACGAATGGCTGAAACACTTCAACCGTGTGAGTAAATACAACTGTTGGGATGCGGCCTCCCGGTTGTCCAACGTCG